GCAACCTCCAACCTCCACTTCCTGGGTTCAAGCGATTCTCCTGCCTCAGCCTGCCAAGTAGCTGGGATTACAGGTGCCCACCACCACACCTGGCTAATCACTCTATATCTCTTGATTGGAGAGTTTGATCCATTTACATTCAATGATGTTATTGATAAGTAAGGACTTACTCTTGTCATTTTGTTATTTGTTTTCTGGTGGGTTTGTGGTCTTCTCTTCCTTTTTACCTGCTTTCTTGTCTTCTTTTTAGTCAAGGTGATTTTCTCTGATGGTATGCTTTAATTTCTTGCTTTTTATTTTTTTTGTATCTGTTGTATGTTTTTTGATTTGAGGTTACAATGGGGCTTGTATATAACATCTTATAACTTATTATTTTAAACTGGTTACAACTTACCCCTGATTGCATAAATGAACAAAGAAACTAACAAACAAGCAAAAACTAATAAAAACTTTATACTTTAATTTCATCCCTCCACTTTATTAATATTTTTAAAATTTCTATTTATATCTTATACTGTCTATGTCTTGAAAAGTTGTTGTACTTATTATTTTTGATACGTTTACTTTTTAATATTTCTACTCCAGATATGAGCGCTTTACCCATCACAATAAGCTTGTTTTAACATTCCATGTGTATCTGTATGCTTACTATTAGGTTGGTGCAAAAGTAATTGCAGTTTTTGCTATTAAAAGTTATGGCATTAAAAGTAATGGCAAAAAACACAGTTCCTCTTTTTTTCTTTGAGACGGAGTCTAGCTCTGTCGGCCAGGCTGGAGTGCAATGGCGTGATCTCAGCTCACTGCAACCTCTGCCTCCCGGGTTCAAGCAATTCTCCTGCCTCAGCCTTCTGAGTAGCTGGGATTACTTAGGTACTTAGGTGGGTGCCCACCACCATGCCCAGCTAATTTTTGTATTTTTAGTAGAGATGGGGTTTCACTATGTTGACCAGGCTGGTCTCGAACTCCTGACCTCGTGAGCCTCAGCCTCTCAAAGTGGTGGGATTACAAGCATGAGCCACTGTGCCTGGCCCACAGTTCCTCTTGAGT